GAGTTCATGGGCAACTTTCAATATTTCAGCAGTATATGCTTTGGGAACAACGATTTGATGAACAATAGCCCATTCCTCTGAAGCTGGCACATCTGGTGGTCTCCATTTCTTCATAAGCACACCATTTTTGAATAAATAACCATTTGGAACTTTCTCCAATTCATCTTTTGGGAATGCGTGTTTAAATAGTGAAGTGATCTGCAAATCTTTTTCTCGTTCAGTGATCGGTTTACTTTTAGTAAATGGAACTACACTTGGTGAATCAGATTCTTCACGTTCATCGTTGTCCCTCACTGGGGTACTGTCAGTAGGACGATCATTCACAAGATCGCTATCGGATCAAAAAAATGTCTGAGACAAATCTATAATATCATCCTCTGAATCCATGCTTATCATTTGTTTTTGGCTTAATTTCCTAGCCTGAGCTCGAGTCATAGAACACAAGGGAAACACATCGGGATTCTCCTCAACTACAACATCATCCTTAGATAAAACAGTGATCGGCTCACTAACCATTTTAGGTTCGGCAACAACTTTTTCCCCAACCAAATCGTTTCCCAACAACAATGATACACCCTTAATTGGCAGAGTAGGTCTTACTCCAACCACAACTGGTCCCGAAACTAGGTCTGATGCTAAATAGATATTAAGAAGAGGAACATTAACAAAGCCACCCTCAATACCCTGAGTAATAACAGACTCACCAGTGGCAGAACTCGAATATAAAGGCAATACACCTTCTAACAACAATGATTGAGTCGCCCCAGTATCACGTAGAATACGTATGGGTATGGGATTGCCAGTGTCATTTGCACAGACACAGAACCAACAGACACAAAAAGTCTAACTTCCTCTCTGATTACATCAGCCTTTATATCAGTGGCCAAATCAACAACATTGGGTGATCTGGTGAAGCTACGTCCATATGTGGACACAAATGCACTGAGTGTTGCCTTCTTTTCTTTCTTCTCTTTCAAACCCCAACAATCGGACATAACATAACCAGGTTTTTTACAGAAATGGCAGACAGGCCTTGATGGTTTTGATGAAGTTTTAGCCCAATTGTATGAAGATTTCGAACTAGAGAAGCTGGATTTTTTGGAAGAATTCTCAACTTCAGTGGATTGAACAGATACAGGTTTTTGTTGAGATGGTAGAAATTCCTTTTTATGAAAATTGGTTTTATGTGTTAAAGTGTAGTCATCGGAAAGAACAGCTGCTTCCTGTAGTGTTTCAACTTTCTTTTCATCTAAATAAGTTTTGAGGTCGTCACGTGCACAACGTTTAAATTCTTCAATTGGGCATAACTGTCTTAGTTTGTCGAAACTGTTGCCAATATGCATAGAATTGCACCATCGATCAAAATAAACCTCTTTTTCGTGGGCAAATTCCATATACGTCTGATTATCTTGTTTACAATAACCTCGAAACTTTTGGCGATAAGCCTCCGGTACTAACTCGTATGCTTTGAGAATAGCTACTTTAACCTTATCATACTTCGTACAGTCTTCTAGAGAAAGAGCGACATAAGCTTCTTGTACTTTACCAGTTAAAACACTTCGTAATAATAATGACCATTTTTCGGTGAGCCATTCCATGGTTTGGACAACCTTCTAAAAATGTTGGAAATATTTATCTACTTCATTTTCATTGAAACGTGGTACTTTAACATATCGATTAAGTTCAAAGTTGTTATTTTGCCTTGGTCGATCGTAGTTATGTATAATTTCCATTTCTTTCAGCCTAATTTCATTTTCGGCTTAAATAGGAGTTTGTTCTTTCTCAGCTTCAATACGAGCTCGTTCGTTCTCGGCTTCAATACGAGTTTGTTCTTTCTTGGCTTCAATACGAACTCGTTCGTTCTCTTTCTCGGCTCCAATACGAACTCGTTCGTTCTCTTTCCCGGCTTCAATACGAGTTTGTTCGGCCTCGGAGCGCTTATTTTCTTTTTCAGCTACAATACGAGCTTCCTCAAGCTCGATTTGTTTGAGTTTTAGCTGGATCTCTAATCTATTTTTATCACTTAACCCCGATTGGCTAGTAGAGACACTAGAGTATTTCTCTAATGCTTTCTCAGCCAACAAATCATCATCGACTAGTATTTCGATAATACGCTTTTTTAGTTCATTTTTTCTCATTGACATTTTAACTTCTAGTTCTAAAACTTTGGCAATTTGGAGCAATACATTTTTGTTATATTTTTCTAATTGTTCTAGGTAAGGTGATACAAGAAAATCTTGATAATCCGACATGATCAAATCTTGTTGGCACTGATAAATATAAATTCAATTACGATTTAAATTATAATTTAGATCGAATTTTGTCTCTGATTCAAATCTCGGATACGAGCCCCCAATTTATTATGTTACGTATATTTCTAAATACAAACTTAATTTAAACAACGTTTATGACAACAAATTCATTACAGCATGTACACTCATTCAATCTTAGTTTTATACCTTTCCACAACATAATATCTTCTTTTGGCACATTTTTGTTGTTGTTGTTGGAAGTAAACAAATAAATTCACACTTCACTTTTATAAAATTATTGACAGAGCATTCCTAAGCAGTAATATAGTCGATGGTAAACTATATTAACACACTTGTCATATAGAGATCATGAAATTTAAGGTTAGGTTTTGCACGTCCCATCGCGCGTCTCAGTGGCACAGCAGTATGTCTGCGGAATTACAACGCTAGAAACCGGGTTTCGATACCCGTGGTGGACAGAGCACAGAGAGTCCATTGTGTAGCTTTGTGCTTAACTACAAACAAACAAACCTTTTCATCGCTGCCTAAATACCGGTCTAAAGGTTTTAATCTTCCGAATTTTTATTTGCAGACACAACGGGGAAGAACTGTAATGCTGCAGTAATAAGTCATTTAATTTTTTGATTTGTTATACATGACACCAGATTCTGTAATAAAGATCGACCTATCATCAAGCGAAAACGAAGGACAAAAAGAGTTTATTTGTTTAATTAAAATATTTTTTTTTTTTTATTTTTTTGCAAAGCTACACAAATGGATATCGACTATAGATATTTTGACTCTCTTTTTTACAGAAAATTTATGGCCACGAAGTGCGAAGCAAATTGTTGCGGCAAAGGGACGCGAACTAAATACTTTCGGATTCATAGTCCGGGCAAATAAACCACAATATCACGCTCGGCCCAAGAAAAGTCGATGGTATTAGTATTTTCATATGCCAGAAATGTCTACTTTAATTTAAGCATCACATCAATTATACTACCTATATATTGCAAGACTAGGAGACTGCAAGGAAGGAAATATTTCAATTGTTTAAGGTGGCATGCCAAAAGGAAAGTGGGCGTTTTTGCTCTCGGCCTACACACAGATTAAAAAACAAAAAAACAAAACGTTTAAATACAGATTTGTTCCTAACGTGGAAATTTCTTCCAGAAAGAATAATCAATTAATGTTGTGCTACTATCAGTAACGTTATAATAATTTTCGTCTCGGTGGTCATTACGTTTATTATACTTTTTTTTTGCACATTAATTACAACGGATGTCTTGTCCTGGAAGCAGAGATAATTGTACCTTATAAATATGATAATTTATTATTAAGACTAACAGGTAAGTTCCCAAATACGACCATCATCTAACCTGTTTTACATCAGGTTTTAACCATATGCATAACAAGTTTCTTGCCTTCTAAATAGTTCATAAGAGAAGCAAAACTTAGCTGATTAACTGCTACTTCTAAAGTTAACACTATATTTCCATATCAGAATACTTATAACGTGGGAACAACAGCGAATAAAATGGAGAAATCAACCAATATTTAAGCACATACCATGAAATAACAAGCACTATAAAATAAATCATAGTCTTACTAATTATAGGGTCAATTTCTTAAGCAGAGTTAATCTCCTATGTAATTAAGCACATGACAAGGTAGCAATTTTCCCACAACAAAAGTAAAAAAAACCAACAAAATCAGTTAAAGGATAGGCTAAGGTAATGAGACTACATGGTAATGCAAATAAATAACTACAGTGATTATTAATACAAGAGTATTAAAAAATCATTATATTTAAAATGAAATAGGGATCCTACTCTAAAAAGAAATGAAACAAGAATTTAAACCATAATAAATTTATAAAATGTAATCCTTACTTTGCCTACAGATAAGAGTATAAAGCTGCAAGGTATGGATTAAACTTTATATATTTGTGATTGTGGTTTTAATTCTTGTTTCATTGGTTTTTGTAGCAGGATCCCGACTTCATTTTAAAATTCATAATATTTTAATACTCTTGTGTGTTCACGTGTTTATCCATCGATATGTAGCGCCATCTTTTGGGTTGAAAAGATATTTAAGTACATGCATGATATGTTTACCATTTATAAGAAATCTCTATATATTTATCAGAATATCAAAACCGGATAGCCACAAACTAGTCAAATAATCTGGAGAAATCTTGTAGCGATAGTCCGAGCCGTCTAGAGGCTAGCCCCGCTGAGGTGATCAGGTAGGTAGGTAGTAGACAAAAAAGTTGCTGTTTTAGAAAATTTTGAATTGCTATTTCCGGAAATGTTAGCGACCTTTTTAGCGTATTGTTAGTATATATGCGCATAATATATCGTAACCTATATTTTGAATGGTCGGTTTTCTCTTAGGAATTCAATAGTGTGGATTTTCGGCTCGAGAATTCTTTGGAAAACTTGTCGATCCCTAATATTAAGTACTACTGTACTTAATAATTATGTTGTTGCAATAAATCACAAATGATTTTGTCAACTGAACTTTATGACAAGGAGTTTCACAAACCAAGCTAAAATTTGCAAATCTTTTAGATAACTTTACTAATTTAACAATATTTTTACAGGAAACACTATTTACTGTAAATATTACTTTATTAGAAAAACGGTCTATAGCTTTTACGTTTTTTTTTTTTTCAGCCAGTGGTTGGTTCATAATATCATAACTTTTCCTCGGTTTCATCTAGAAATTTATCAAACATAAACTTACTTATTCCCCTTCTTTGAGGTCTCACTGCAGTCCAGGCTTTAAAGTTGAATTTAAGAACGTTGTATCGTTAGTCTAAACATCAGAAACGTGAACTAAAGAATTAGAACCTAACTCTGCAATAACCAAAATATGTTCTGTCAACCTACTAACACAGAACACTGACGGCCCCTGCAGGTACAAAAAGCCGCTTACCGTCACAAGCTATTGCAGCTTTACTACCAGCACTTGTGGATATGTGACGTAACAGTGTTATGCGCGTGTCACGAGAAATCAAGCGCGAGATGCCTCGAGGATACAAACTGGAGTGCAACGGATTACGATGTGTTAACCGTTACGCGGAATGAAGTTGCTTAGATGTCTTTGTCGATGTATGTTGGTTTGGACTGTAGAGTTGAATGACCTGTATAAAAAGTGTATAGTTACTAAAAGATCGAATAAAAGTTCATACAAATCATTTGCATATAATCAACCATAAACAGTTTTAAGAGCAACTCTTGTGATTGGTACAGGTGTAACTTTCTGCCATTGGGGAGTTCTTTATAAACTAACTCGTGGAAATAATAACCAACAGTTATCAAGAGCCGTCGTTGTCATGTGTTTGCTATTTTATTGTCATTATATATAGTATGATATTTCGCTTCGAAATAACTGTTATTTTTATATATTTAATTAAAAAGAGCAGTGTCAAAAACGTCACTGCTCGAAAAATGGTAAAGCTTAATTGCCGAGACAAACTTATGCTACTTTAGGATCGCGACAGATAGAAGAGCACAAGCATTTCTTATTAAGAATAAATTTTATGTACATTTTACAAAAGGGACAAATAAGGTTTTAGGGCAAAAAAAAAAAATCAGCGCTGTAAATGAAAAGTACTATTACGAAATATTATTAAATTACCTGTTTAAAGGATAAAATGCTAAATAATATTTCAGAATATTTTTTTACTTTCAAAATAATATTTATACCCGGTGATTTTCTTTTTTATCTCTCCAGTTTGTAGTCAGAATAGATATCAAGGCATGAACTGGCTGCGATTCTCCTGCCGATCTTTGCATTACTGAACTAGAGTACCAGATTAGAACAAAATATATTTAAAAAACATAGTTACAAACGTAGTGCTACCTTTTCAAATAAAAATATATAAATGTGCACGTGCGACTTGCAAATTACGAACTTCAGTTCAACTCTGTGTAATGGCAATAGAGGGTTAAACATGTAATATGTATAACAATAATATTGTTCACGTATTTTAAAGTTCGTTTCTGACTGCTATCTCATTACATCATCATACTGTGAATAATATCGAAATTCTTCAATAAAAAATGATCATGCCATATGCACTTAAGTTATAATATTACTGAATTTAAATGTCAACTACTCTGAAAACGGGTAATTTATGACGTTGGTGAAAGAGGGTACTTTATATAGTCCTGCAGCAGATGTAAAAAACAAGTAAGTCATTGTAGATTATCATACATAAAATTTACTATTAAAATAATCATGTCCCGCTGCGAGATCAGCCGGAATAGATGGCGGCAAGTTAGCTTTACGAAGTTCATTTTTAGTTGAAGTTCAGCACAAAACTGCAAAATGGGCTATCTGTGCTCTTCCCACTACAAGTATTGAAACCCAGTTTTAGCGCTGTGCCACTGGGGGCTTACTAAGTTCAACATATTGTTGCGTCATCGAGGTCACGTGACTGGTGTGGCGCCCTCTAGTGTCTAGAACTATCTTGTTCCTTCACGAATGCTCTAATATTTACTAGATAGGGTAGTCTGGTATATATAAGAGGGTGACAACGTGACGCGGTAATGTAATGTAATGTGTGTGTAG